ATTTTTAATAAATAGTTTTGATGAATAGTTATCAAATTATTAATAAACTATTTATAATAAATTATTAATAAATTAATATCAAATTTTATCAAATTATTAATAAATAATTTTGTAATGAACTTTTAATAAATTTTTATTAAATAATTAATAAATTTTTTAACAAATTGTTAATGAATTTTTTGATAATTTATTGTTAAATTTTTAATTGATAAATTTTTTATTATTGAATTTTTTGATTGATAAATTTTTTGATTATAGAATTTTTTATTGTTACTTTATTATAAAAATAGTAATATTTCAAGTGGTAGTAATTGAAAAGAATTTGATAATATTTTTATTATTAAATTTAATCAAATTTGATAATAATTCAGTTGCTGAATAATATAATTTTAATTAGTATATTGTATAATGATATTATAATTGATAAAAATTTCTATAACTATTTTTAATTATATTTATTTGCATTTTTATTATATTGTTATAATATCTTTTTTAATATAATATATATTAGATATTATGATTTTTAAATATTTTTAATAGTTTTTATAATTTTTAAATAATATTTGATAATTATTTTATAAAATATTATATATTGAGTATATACACAAATATATACATATTTGGTTTTTTTTATCTATTCTTTTTTTTTATAAATAAAATACTTTAGCTTTTAATACTTTTACAAAATAAGATATTATAATTTGATTTTTATCTTTATAATAAATTTTGAATTTAACTTATATTATGTTATTTTGTTATTTTATAGTTTCAAAATAATCTGATAATATTGTTTCAAGTTTTTGAAAAAATTAAAAATGTAATAAAAATAAATAAAAACACATGTTTTATAAATTATTGATATTGATTTTGATTAGTTTCTTTTGAATATTAATTGTTATTGAATTAGATTTGATATTTAAATTTTTGATAGTACAAAACTTTTGTGAGCTACTATATATAGTATAATTAGTATAATTTACTTTTTTGATGAAAAAAATTTTTTTATACAGAATTAAAAAATTCAGGAATTTTAATTAATCTTATCATTATTATTATAATCAATAATTGATTGTAATTGTTATATACAACAAATTCTTTCTTTTTGATTAACGAAGATTATAATCAATTTAATTTATTTGTAGAATAATAATTAAAGTAATTATCAAACAATTTCAGTATAAAAAATTTTATAAGAAAAATTTATGAATAAAATAATCAATTGATTTCGAACAATGTTAAAAATTTTATAAGAAAAAATTTATGAATAAAATAATCAATTGATTTCGAACAATGTTAAAGCCATTATTTTGATTTTTATAATATGTTTGTAGTAAAAAGGTTATAGGAAAAAAAAATAAGCATAAGTTAATAAATCATACTGTAATTAAATCAATAATAAAATAATATACTGTATACTGTATATACAGTATATTTAAAAACCACGCTCTGATAAATATAATAAAAGTTTGCGAGATGAGATAGCAATTCACACTATCCTTAATAAGAGAAAAAAATTAAGAAAAAATGATATAATATATTAATTGTAATTCTTCTAAATCTATTTTCTGTCATTAAAAATTATTATCTAAGAAAACACACACACACAAAAAAAAGAAAAGAAAAAATTGCGTTAGCACTTTTTTTTTTTGTATGAAACAAAGCAATAATTTTGAATTTCCAAATATTTAACAAATATCCGAGATAAAATGTGTAAAAATGTGTCATTGCTGCGCATTGTGCGATATGTATTGTGCGTACGGTACGTAATCATTGTTGTTTTACTATGTTTATGCACCTATGTACTGTATGTCGTGCGCGTGCGTAAGGGAAGGTTCATTAAGAGTTAAAATTAATTAAATGATTGCGGTCAGAATTAAAGATACCGTATTTCTTTGTTGCTACAGGTACGATGTGTGATCGACCCGTCCCGTTTGTTATGTGAGAATTTTTTGAAACCCAGAGTGGGTTATGTTGATTGTATTATATTATTATTATTAAATGATTAAAGAAAAAGTTTTTTATGTTTTTCCATTTTTACAACAGTGTGAGCTTATGAATTAAAAAAGTTAAAATCATCATTTGCGAGCTGCAGGTTGTGGAAGCTTTATGTATACAGTAAATCATTAAAGGGTCATTTGATGTTCGTGCATTTATTCGTAGTTTCGAGGGTAACTACAAATGGAAAAGTGTACAGAGTGGCTCATTCAAACATCAAATTCGTCATAATACATCAAATATTATATCACTGGCGTTCGAAGTAGGCTATGCACAACATGCGATTGAATCATAATTTTTTACGTAAGCCAAACTTTATCAAGCTGCCAGTCATCTGGCAAGAGTTTGGGAAGAGATGGTTGAACGCTCACAACAATAATATGAAAAGGAAGTTTGCTAGCGCGATAGCGTTGGTGGGTTGAGCAATATTTGTTGCTGACACAAATACCCCGCCTTTTTTAATGTAACTTGTTCTGTGCACGCGTGTGAATTTCAACCGAATAGGCTAGACCGATAATTACGTTAGTGAAATAAAACAGGTAAAGATAAGTTGCATTGCGTAAACAGAATATGCGAAAGTTTTTCGAGCGATGGGGAACGTGTGTAGATGGGAACGAAATGAAAATGGGGGGTGGGGGGAGGTGGCAAGGGATGGACGGACGGACGCGCATGCATGAGTGGACGGGAGAGGGGAGGGAAGGAGGAGGGAGAGGAGGGAAGAAGGGTTTATCGTGGGTGCAGCACCTTTCCTATGTGCGTTGCATCAGTGTTGAAGGGAAAGAGTTGGCTTGACATGTCACGTACGTTGCGTTTACTATTCATGCCTTATAATCACATATGGATTATCACCAATAAACTCATTACAGTAAACAGGGGAGATAAAAGAGAGCAACGAAGTGCATAACTATTGGTTGCACCGCATAATTCAGACAATGGCTTGTGAACTTTGTTCAACATTGGTACGTATGTATCATACAGGCTCCTCGAACCATCACGACTCGAAAACAGAAGACGAAAGTTGGAAATGAGATGACATTAGTGAAAATCAAGCATGTATTTGCTCACTTGCGTATTTCTTTGTTACCGTTTTCTCTTCAACATCCTCCACGCATCGTCCGCATTATCGATCAACGGCGACGGCAAGAGCACAAGACAACCACATCCGTTTTACCATATCATATGCTTGATTTCCTTCTCCATTTCGCATTATCAGACTTTCTCTTCCACACACACATTATCTCGTCTTTTCTATTCCCATCTTTGGATGGCACAGCATAAGAATATTGCTGCGATTCGATGTTTCAACGATGACGATATGCGGTGTTTTCCGAGTAGCGATGTGCTACATACTACTGTAGGTACGTACTGTATGTGCAGTACGTGTACAGTGTGGTAGTATGTACAATGGGATTTTTCATTTTCACCTCCGAATTTAATTACCGTAGGTTTCCCTTTGGAGAAGCGAGTTTAAAGCCTCCATCCACAAATTGTTAAAAAACACAGGTATGCCGCTGTTGTACGTACGTACACACCCACCTACTTATTTGTTTTACACATAACCATAATATACGATTCTGTCGTCACTGTTTTCGCATAATGAATTCCCGGTCGCCTTCCACGGCACCTTTATTATTGTCTTTTTTTACCCCACAAGAATTTTCCAAGATGCGTACAAGCGCAAGTTGTGCACGTAGCTGACTTTTTATTATTATCAAACTCTCTTTTATTTTTTATTTATTTATTTGCGTGCTATTTTTTTTTGGTGGCATAACCTCCCTCTCACCAAAAAAAGTCTAATTCAATTTTATACGTTATTGGAATGGTTATTACTTATTGTAGTAATATGTATATATGTGTTTAAGGCTGATTTTTTTCTGTGTGCAAATCAAAAACCGAACCATTCTTCCTTTTTCTCTCAATTTGCGTTACCTTACTTTCATCTTTAAGACTGGTTTTTATATTGTTTCTCACCTGTTCAACGCTCAGGTCATTGAGTAATTAATAGCTTGTCAGCCCCCTTTTTTCAACACACTTATAAAAACCTTTGATTATCGAATTTTTTTGAACTCTGACAATAATTTTTTTGTTGTCTCCGGCGTTCCTCCACAAGGATCAATTTTTTTTTTTTGTCTGCCGAATTAGAACGACTTTTTTATTTTCTTTACGGTAAACGTCAATAATTTTCTTCCATCACCATTAATCACGCGCTTCCGACTCTTTTCAGCCTAACTTTGATAACTAAATTCATATAACCCAAATCCACTTATTTACATCACTCTTGACAATATATACTATTTGTATTTATACGTTATTTATATATAATCATAGATAAATAATAATATACTGCATACACATATATACGGTACTAGCCATTATATACGTATATAAATGCATCGCCCTTTCTAAAATTATAATTTGAGGACAATCCACTTATTCTGTTCGTTCGCAGTGGCAGGATATATGTGCCTTTATATAAGAGAGGTCATTTCTTTTCTCCCCCAACAACTCAAGTTCACACTGAAAATAAAACGCACACAACGAACGTCCTTTCGTTAAGGCAATTTGTTAATCATCCCCTTCAATTTATTACTGTGCTCGTTCGTGTTTCAGTATCTATTATCGACTGTCGTGGATAGCAAGTAGTAATAACGGGGTTTTACAGGTAAAGAAATTAATTGTTGCATACGCCCCTTAGTTTCTTTTTTTTTTTTTTTTTTTTTTTTTTTTTAAAAAAAAATACGTGAGACAAAAAGTGTACTCACTCTACTCCACCCTTCCGATAACATACACGCACACACACACACACATAATATATATATATACATATATACACATTTTATTCTTTCTTTCTTTTCCATCCGTTTTTCTCACCAACCTCACCATTTTCGCTTTATTCACCGCAGCAGCACTGTTGGATTTAGTGTTATCGATAATCACAGACACCAACCATCAACGCTACCCTTCTCCTCTACTACTACGTCTACTCGAGAACTTTCACCTTCGTCATGACCACCTTAATCGAAACCTACTTTAACCCTTCCGATCGAATTGGCACCTTCATCGACAACGGAAACTTGGAGATAACTCACATCCTTGGTGTCGGGGCTTACGGTGTAGTCTACGCTGCCAAACATGTCCTCACTCAACGTGTTTATGCCGTGAAATGTATGCACAAAGCAAACATTGATGCCCGGCAGAACCGATTACATGCTACCGAGATCAGTCTACACGCTCAGCTCTCGGGTCACCCGAATGTCATCGGTCTTGAAAAGGTGATTGAGACCGACGACGCCATCTATCTGGTCCTCGAATATTGTCGTGAGGGCGATCTGTTTTCAATGATAACCGAAAAAGGTGGATACCTGGGGAATAATCGCCTCATCAAACAGGTTTTCGTTCAAATCTTGGATGTTGTCCAGTTCTCTCATTACCACGGTACATATCATCGTGATCTGAAACCCGAAAACATTCTTGTATTTGATGGTGGAAGGACTGTTAAACTGGCTGACTTTGGTTTGGCTACGACGGATGTATGGTCAAGGGATTTCGGTTGTGGTTCAACTTTTTACATGAGTCCAGGTAGGGATTTTTTTCTTTTCGGTCAACCTGCGCGGTTCAAGACGGCGGTGGGGTGGGGTGATGACATGGTGACAGCGGTGGCATAACAGTGATCACAAATAGAGAGCACGGTTGTAGTAACCATTCGGAATTCTTTTTCTCTCCCCTTCCGCAGAGTGCCAAGGCGGACTCTACAAGAGGGTACGAGGTTACGCGACCGCCCCAAATGATGTCTGGTCTTTGGGTGTCATCCTGATTAATCTCACTTGTGGTCGCAACCCCTGGAAACAGGCTTGCCTCCGCGATGAAACTTTTTCGGCCTTCCTGAGAGACCCCGACTTTCTAAAGACCATCCTCCCCCTGTCCGACGAGCTTAATGAAATTCTGAAGGACGTCTTCAACCTTGACCCCGAGCAAAGAATCTCACTGGAGGAGCTCAGAGAACGCGTTCTCGAGTGTCACAGTTTCACCATGTCGGAATACGACACCTACTGTAATAAACCCTCTTCGAAGAGCGTTGATCCTTACCATCAACAACAGCCGATAGACGTGAAACTGATCGATGTCTGCGACGAATACACTGCGACCGCTCCGCGCAAACCACACCACAACAACTCGTCCACCAATTCGTCGGTTACTGCTTGTTCGTGGTATTCCATGAATTCGGAAATGGACTTTTCCACACCGCCTTCCGAATTCTTGGATGACTACGATCGTTGCTCGACCTCGACCGGCTCTTCCTCATCACTGTCAACATTGGCCACCAGTCAGCCCGATTTACTCAAGTGCGTTGATCCTGATTCGGGATTTGGCTTCAAATGTGGTGACCTAATCATGGAAAACCACCTTTTCCAGACTGACTGCATATATTAACGAAAAATTCAATATCACACACACACACACACACACACACATTTTTGTCGTTTTTACGAGTATGAAAAAAACCGCTACTCTCTTAAAAATTAATCTCATCCTTTTTTTTTTTTTCCTATGCTTTCTTCCATTATTCGATTCACTTACTTTAATGATAATCTTTCATCACCACAACAAAAAAAAGAAAAAAAAAGTAACCAAATTGGTAAAATCACCCCCATCTAAAGAGACAATCATTCTAAAATCACGTGATTAAGTTTATATCCATTTTACTCGATAAGTGATCATCACGTGTTAAGAGGAGTATAATTAGCAATTTTTGGGATCTTTCTTGTAAATATTTTTTTTTCCACTAGCCTTGATTCGTAGTTGTTGAAATTCTTACGGTCAAGAGAGTTTTTTTCTTTGAAAATTCTTTCAATGTATATAGAAATTTTTGGGATTTCCTTCGTAACCTCAGGTTTTAAGATTTTTTTTTTTTGAAAAAGAGAAAAATTTTTGAAAAAAAGAAAAAAATTGGCTCAAAATCACACACACAAACAAACAAATCACAAACGAAAAATTTCGGAATAAATCGATTCGCTTACTGGTTAAGTGTCTAAAAAGAATTACGTGAGTGCGCGCGCAATTTAAAATTTAACTCGTGAACTTCCACTGCGCTGCATTTTTCCTCCTCCTCACAAAAAGGAAGGTTGGCGGTCCAATTACCCGGCTACTTGAGATAAATGAATCGGAGTTTTTCTATTACTCCAAAAGGGAATTCGCAATTAAAGTAATTAAAGTAACAATGTTATCCGCAAAATTTTTTTAAAACATCATATTACCCTTGGAACAATGTTATTTCGAATTTTGACCCCCGAATGGCCAACTTTCACCCAATCAAAACCTTGATTTAGAATCGAATTCGGCCCATCATTCGTTCATTCGTCGCGTCATACATTCACCCACACGCCCATTTCATTCGTCGTCACTCGGTTCATTCTGTCGAACTAAGAATGAGGTTGAGATCGATGACGGTTGGTGATGGTCAATTAAAAAATTCCAAACCGTCTAATCCATATGCAAACTTATAAAAATGCATAACATGTCAATTTTAATCTCATCTCACCACACATATGGTAATCTTTTTTTTAGTTCACCATTTCAAATTCACTTTTACTAAAAGAAAAACCTTTTTCTGTTAATTGGCAATATGCACAATCTACGCGGTATCGTCGAGCACTTTTTGCCAAGGCACTAGGTTGGTCACCAATTGGATTTGTTAATTAAATCACCGTGTATGAATCCTTCAAATAATTGACGATATACTTACTGCGCACACGCAGCATCCATCCATTACATCATATACTGTATACTTTATATAGGATCTTTTTGGTTTTGATTCTTAAAACGCGAATCACTCCCAAAACATAGGATTAATAATCTCAAACTATTTGTCATGTACGATGCATTACCATATAAATTGTAATATACTGTATCATTCATTATTCTAAAAAAAAAAAAAAAAAAAAAAAATACAAAAAAAAAATTTTTTTATTATATACTGTATATATATTTAAAAAAAAAAATAAACATGCATTGTATTATTTCAAATTGACCATCATAACAAATCTTACCACGGGCGCTCGCGTTAGCAAAAGCAAGTCGTCGAATGGTTTATTATATCCATTAAGAATTTAAAAGAATCTTTATTTTATCTTTTATTTTTTTATTTTTATTTTTATTTTTATTTATTTATTTTTATTTTTATTTATTTTGGATTAGAGTAAAATTCATAAAATCGCGCATACCATTTTTAAAGTTTTCAGTTGGATTGGTATGACATAACACACTCTTTTGGATGTTTACAGAAATGATTTGATATATTTGATTAATTTTGATGGATAAATTGGGATCTATAAGGTTTAACCAAAATCTTGATATTCAAGAAAGTATGAAATTCCAAGAAATCCTTGGCAAAAACTGCAACCACTATCCTAGGACAGCTGTTATAATATCCCGACCAGAAGAGAAGTTTGGCTAAAACATTGAGATAACCTGTCATTGTGAAAGAAACTAACTATGCAAATACAAATAAAAAGAAAATGACAGTAATGTGATACTATATAAGGATTAAGAATAATCCTATTGTTGCTATTGTAGATACTGGCAATATAATAAGTTTTATTATGAAAGGTTGATAAATAAACGAACTTACATATTGAGAAAAAATTAATATCCAGTATAGTAACCATAATAGGGATTAAGGCTTGAACTGTAAAAAATATCAAAAACTTGAAAATTCTATTTATAACATTTTAATTCTATATTCTTTACAAGTGATTAACTTGAATAATGAAATTTTTTATTTAAGAAATAATTGATTTGAAAAAGTCAAAGCAAGAATTCATTATAATGAACAGAAAATGATCCTAAGATATTAAGAAAATATTATCAAAATATCAATTTCTAATGATAAAATGCAAAGTTATAACTTAAAAAAAGTTGTAATAAAAATTTAACCTATAAAAATAAATTGCCTAATCAATTATATTATGATGAAAAAATTAATAATACTGAATAATACTATATTAAAAACCTAAGTGATATTAAACTGATAACAATACTTATTTACAGTATGAAGAATATAACCTTATCACATACTTGTTACAAGTGAAAGGGTTATTAAAATTCAAAAGAAATTTATAATTAAATAAAAAATAGTCAATATAGAAACTAATAAAAAAATGAATAAGAAACAATATAATAAGACTAAACAAAAAATTAGACTATTTTTGTATATAAAATAAAAGAATAAAATATATTAATATTATATATTATATCATAAATATTAAAAAAGCTATACCAATCAAACAACATATTTATATAAAGGTTAATAAGCTAAAAGTGTAAAGACTTATTCAAGATTTATAAAACTTGTGAATAGTATCAATTATAATAGTACTAAAGAAAAAAGAAAAATTATAATTATAGGTAGATTATTAGAAAGTGAATACAATTTGAAAAAATATATTTACCTGTTATTACATATTTATAACTTGTTGAAAATCTTTTTTATAGCTAAATAGTTTAATACCCTTGATTTAATAAGTAAATATTGATAAGTCCCTATTAAAAAAAAGAATAAAAAAAAATTATCTTTATCACTTTATATAAAGTACAGTATATAAATTTAATGTAATACTATCTGAACTATATATACAATGTACTAACTATATTTTAATAGCTAATAAATAAAATCTTATATAAAGAACTTGGTTTTTTTTTAAGTACTTATAGCCAGTCGAGATTGTTAATTTATTAATCAATTGAAAACATAAGTACATTTTTATTCGAGCAGCATAATATATACTATAGCTAAACTATTATTATAATCTAACTAACTTATCATAAGCATAAAAGCCTCTAAGTTCAGTCTTGGAGACAATATTTCACTTTACAGTATCTTTGGGTGAAAACCCTTCTAGTCCATTGCATTATTGCCAGCAGATTGTCACTGCCATATATTTGATCAAGCTGCTGAATTATAGAAAACTACAAAAGAATAGGTTGAAAAAAAGGAGAGGGAGATATCTAAAAATATCTCAGCAGATAACACGAAAATGAAAGAGTAAAATTTGAAAAAAATATTTCCAGCTTTCTCCAAAGACCTGCTTCTCAAGATCTCTTCTCAATAAAAAATGTTCAATTGGAATATCCTTTCTTTTTTTGATCATTTGAGGAACTTATCTATTCTTAATCTTGATTTTTTTCTTGTGTACTATCTAAAGAGACTTATCATCAAATGGAAGTCTTTACTTCCAGGACACATTTGGTTCCAACCTTTTTTGGACAATAATTTTTTATCCACCTATAGTAGAGAAATAATTTATGATAGACCCCAGGTTCTTATGTAACCTAGTAAGAATTAAGTCATATTGTTTCAGTGTAATATCTTCCAGCAGTCATGCTTAATTAAAGGAATTTTACTGATATATATCTTCCATTATCCAAAAGTAGGGATCACAATTTTTATTCAAATTTGAATAATCTGTAGATTTGATCTGGAATGAATCAGATCAGATTTTAAATTTTTTGATCCATTTGTATTCAAATTGGATACAGATTTCAAATTTTGAAATCTGATCCAGTTGAATTCTAAATTTTGAAACTAATCAGATTTCAAGTTTTAAAATCTAACTAGGTTCAAATAAAATTTGGTAGTTTAACTATATTTAAATGTAGCTATTTAAGATAATTTAAAAAAAAACCTGGATTTTTTTTTTATATTTCTTTAATATCTTTACATATTTCTTTAAAATTTTGTGATATTTTTTATGATATTTTTTTCCCTGCAACATTACTGATATTATTTACATCAAATAATTGTAAGTAATCTCTTTCCGCTGATCCTCTGAGTACACACAAAAAAAAATGTTCGCAAGAAGTTTTGATACTTCCTTGCTAATAAAGTCTTAAT